CTTGCTTACATCCGTAGTCCATTGGTCTCCGTAGCTATCCATCCTGTAACACCCTGTTGGTTTTTTTAATTCCATGATGGTCATGTTCCTTAAAAAGGCATATCAGAGTTTACACACTTACTTGGGATCCAGTTTCATCTTGGATCTCAATGTTGTTCTTCCAGTGATGTTCTAAGCGGTGCTCCACTGCAGGTGTCGAGTTATCCCAGTGCTGCAGTTCGGGAGCTTTGTATAGCAGTTTCCCCTGTTGAGCCACGCATGCCCAGGCGGCGTCTCGAGCCCTTCCCGCCTCCTGAGGAGCGCGGCTCAACCCCCTCCCTTTCAGTTCCTCTTTAACTGCCCTTGTCAGTGGACGGAGCAGCCAGGAGCTCCCTGTCAGACTGACTACTTTCCCCTTAGTTATTTAGGCATAGTTACCTTCCCCTGTTTTATCCAAGTTAGTCTCTCCTTGTTCTCTTAAAAAAAATAGAAATAGTAAAAATAGACTTAATTAAAATCCCCCCCTCAGGGGGCTTGAACTCACCTCAGACCGGGACTCCGGTGAATCAGCGTTCTCCCGCCTGTCAAAACAAGAGACACATAAAGGCATTTAAAAAAAAAAAAAAAGCAGCAGCAGCAAGACTGATCTACGGATCAGATGCCCACTACAATGCCTGACTCCCCAGGCTTCAAAAAATGTGACACTTCGGACATCTTGCCTGTGTATACTGTTTAGGGGACTCTCATATCTGCCCAAAATGCCCACATTGCAGCAACCTCATAGCGAGAGCCAGGCACAATGAGGATCTTTGCTTAAAAATGACTTTACTAGATAAGTCCCTTCAACCATCCCACTGAACACAGCAGGAGCCCTCTCAGCCCTCTGCCAAGGACAAAGTCCAGACTTCCAAGACTTCTGGGAAGCAGGCAGCACTCCTCCACCTGAAAGTCTCAAAAGAAGAGCGTTTCACCAGTAAAATCTTTGCCATTGGTGCAGACAACTAAGTTAAGTAAAGGAAATAAGCCCAGCACTTCCAGCATCACGCTAAGACAAGTCTACACCAGCACTGACTCGAAGACATGCCAACACACGCCTTCCTCAGCAGCGACTGTTTTGGCACGGACCTCAGCACTGTCACCAGCACTGGGTCCAATGCTCAACATCTGACTCCACCTCTGGCACAGTCTGTTACACCCGGCATTGCGCTGGTTACAGTGCAAAATAGTTGTTTGTGGCATGGCTTCAGCCCCACCTAAACCAGCACCCTCCAGTGTCTTGTTGAGAAAGATATAATGGTATCATCAGCACCACATTCTCCACTGTTTAGCATGAATCAGTCACTGGGGTAAAATGCTGGCCATCCCCTGATGTCACCCATAATCTTTGCACGTAGTGAACCTAATGAGCACAGAAGCAAATTCTCCCAGCATTCCTCACCACCCATAGATGGCCACCATGGCAGTCACACCATGACAACCCTCACCACGCTTCTCAGATCCAACCCTCCAACCATGGCCTTACTCACCGCCTCATTATCCCATGCAGTGATCTGGGTAAGCAGTAGGGGGGATTATGCAGCCCCTTGGACCTCAGCCAGAGCCATCTCCTCTGTCAGCTCTGAGCATTTTTCCCACCGATGTCCAAGAAGAGGACTTGCCAGGACCAGGATGAAAACCCTTAGACTCAGTCCCCAGACGTCTCCCTGCTTGATAACTCCTCTTCCTCTCCAGACAAATCTGCGATACTTGCAGCACTGTCATCTTCCGATGACCTGGAGCTGTTTAAAAGAGTGGCCGCTAACCAGGATATTCCACGTCAGGAATTCCAGGAGAAACAGCACAAACTGCTCCAGATCCTTCAGCCCACGGTAGCATCTGCTATTGCACTACAAAGAGATGAGTCCATTATGTATTCATCAGATGAATGTGGCAAACCCCTGCCTCAGTTGCTCCAACAAGTAAGCTTGTGGACAGAAAATATTTCCTCCCAGCCAAGGATGTGCACTTCCTCTTCTCTCACCCTCAATGAAACTCCCTAGTGGTCGATGCTGTCCATCACCAAAATAAGCAGCCTCAGCACAAGCCAACCCCACATGACAAAGACCACAAAAAGACTTGATCTGGTTGGCTGTAAGTACACTCTTCATCTCAGAGTAGCTAATTACTCAGCCATCCTTGCCAATTAGGATTTTTCAGACTACTCTAGACTTGAAGAATTGATGGATCACCTTCCTGAGCAAAACTGCCCCACCTTAAAATCTATCATTCAAGAGGGACAAATGATAGCTTGCACATCACTACAGTCAGCGCTAGATGTTGCAAATTGGGCTGCTCACGCACAGTGGTAGCCAGTTCAGATATTCGATCCTTTTTATATCAGTTGTATGACAATTTAGAGTATAGTCTATGCAAAAGAATGAAAAGGCAGGTAGTTATGCTCAGTGAATATCAACATGGATTTCATTTTGTATAAAAACCTGTTATGATTTATCTTAAAACTCCTGTGAGTAAAATGCATTCTACTAGGTTTAAAGCTACTTTAGCTGCTTTCTCAATAAATTTCCCAGGCTGGGTATTTGCAAAGCTGTGTATATGATCATCAGTACATACAGTTTCAAGACACTGCGACATTACTCAGGCATGTCAAGTTGGTTGTGCACTTGGGTGTATTAGTTTTACAGTTCGTGTTCCGGTTGACTCCACCACCTGAAATAAGAATTCTAGTATATATTCACAAACATTCGAAGGAGGAAAAACGAGTTATCTGTTTTTCAAAATGTCTGTATATGTATTCCACACCCTCCCTCCTTCCCCACTGCCTGAGTTGTTACCAGGTTTCTGGTGTGAAGGAGCTGAGGAGAGGTGAGGTAGTTCCACCATTACAAATATAGCAGGCAAGGCATATGCAGTGCTCCAACAGCACTGATACCAAAAATCTCTGGCACTGCCAGAATTTTCCGAAGGACAGGTCCTGGCCATTCTCCCTCTGTTGCTGAACACTCTGATTCCTTCCTAGCTGCCACTATCCCCACACCCAGCTCTGAGTTCTCTGATCTGAGCTAAGTCATGCTGTCTTTGCACCCAGGCCTACACTTTCTCCTGTATGCAGTGCTCCAACAGCACTGATACCAAAAATCTCTGGCACTGCCAGAATTTTCCGAAGGACAGGTCCTGGCCATTCTCCCTCTGTTGCTGAACACTCTGATTCCTTCCTAGCTGCCACTATCCCCACACCCAGCTCTGAGTTCTCTGATCTGAGCTAAGTCATGCTGTCTTTGCACCCAGGCCTACACTTTCTCCTGTTTA